GTCAGATCATTCTTGAGTCCTAAGTACCAAAGAACTACAATCTCTGATACTTTGTCATTCAGCAGCCATTAATTAAATGGCACAAAGCCCCATGCTAGGTATGGGAGGATTTTTCTTTTTGAATTGGACCTTTGAATTTCATTGGTATAAGACACTACCTTTAGATCAGCACCTACTCTGCACCTTACAATGTTAGAGTTGCCTGGAGGCACTGAGAGGTTGCTAGATCTGGTCTAGAGTCACACAGCCTGAGTCAGAAGTGGGACTTGAACCTAGCTTGTCCTGACTCTGAGGCTGGCTCTCTATTTACCATGCCCTTCAGCCTCCATGCTCATACCCTAGGTGTCATCCTTGACTCCTCACCCCATAACCAATCTGCTGCCAAGTCCTGTCAATCCTACCTTCATAAAAACTTAGGGTTGTGCCCCTTTCCCACCTCCCAGATGCAGACCCTTATCACATCACTAGACTACTGAGATACCTTTCTGGTGGGTCTCCCTGCCTCAAGTCTCTCCCTACTCCAGCCCATATTCACCCTGCTGCCAACATGATCTTCCTAACATAGGTATGGCCATATTATCCCTTCCCCTTCCCTTACTGTCTATCGTCAAATAGACAATTCATGTTTCGCCTTTAATACTCTCCACAACATGGCCCCTTCCTTCTTCTGCTTTGACTCCCCTTTCCTGTACTCCACAACTGAGTGACACTGGCCTGCTCACTGTTCCTCTCTTTCCATCCTCTGTCCATTTCTGATGACTAATTTTCAACTATATTGTAGAAAGGACTCTTGTTCAAGTGTAGGTTGGGCTTTATGTCCTAAAACTCCTTTCCAAAAATGAACATTTTTCAGTCTACCACCACCCAGACTTGGTTTTCACTCATCACTATGGAGCTTCCCAATTAATCTTCCTGTGTCCAGGCTTCTTCCAACTCCCAATAGACTCTGTACATTCCTTGTTGCTGTTCAGTTGTTCAGTCATTTATGAATCTTCATGACCCTGTGGACCATATCATACCAATCGTGTCAATAGGTTTTCTTGGCAAAAACACTGGAGTGGTTTATTTGCTTCTCCACTGGATTGAGGAGAGGTTAAGTAACTTTCTCAGGATTACCAACCTACTAAGTGTCTGAGGCCAAATTTGAACTCAGGTCTTCTTGACTCCAGAACCATTTGGCTGCCTCAGCACATTACTTACATCTTCCAAATGAATTTTTCTTTCTTTTATTTTTTAAATAATTTATTTATTTTTAGTTTTCAACACTCATTTCCATAAGATTTTGAGTTTTAAATTTTCTCCCCTTTCCTCTCCCTCCCCCTCTCCCCTCGACGGCATGCAATCTGATATAGCCTCTACTTATACATTAAGTTAAGCATACCAAATGAATTTTTCAAAAGTACTGCTTTCCTCATGTCATGTTCTATTTCTGTCACTCCTCTATTTAAATAGGTCCCTTGTCTAAGTCTGAACACCTGAGTCTGGCACAGAAAGCCCTCAATTATCTTATTTCAAACTTATTTTCCACACCTCAAACCTTCTGTTCAAGACAGGATGTTTTTTGCTGTATCTCAAACACACCTTATTCTTTTCCACTCCACACCCCTTTATTCACACTCCCTATGACCCACACTACTGTTTTCCTGATAATACTCTGTACAGCCCTCCTTGCATTTGGGTGGGCCACTCCCTGTGCCTGGAATACACTCCCTCCACATCTCTCCTGGTGACTTCTCACTTTAAGCCCACTCTCAGGTTTGACTCTATCCAGGCAACCATCCCTGATTTTCCCCACATGAAAATAAGCTGTCCTAAAATCTCTTAAGAATAGTTTTAGATTCTTCCCTTGCCATCATCTCATTCTGCCTTAGATAAATAGTTATCTCTAACTAATATTTGATAACCACTATCCAACTAAGTCTTAGTCCTCCTTTCTCTAACCTCTCCTTCCACTGGACCCTCTGCATCCCTCACTCTATCATTAACAAACTTTAATCCTAGATCTCTCTCATCCTTTTTTTTTTTAATCTGACAGGATGTTTGCAAATTAACTTTGATCTTATTTCAATTAACAAGCACTAACTCTCACTTCTTCCACTTTCTTTTATGTTCTCTCACTTTCTCTCTCTTTACTTCTACCTCATCTAATCTCCCAGGAAGAGAGGAGGGAAAACATGAAAAAAAAAGCCCCTTTTAACAAACATACATAGTCAGGCAAAGACAATCTCCCATACTGGCCAAGTCTAAAAATATGTCTTGTCCAGCACCTCTCTGTCAGGAGGTAAGTAATACATTTGCCCCCTGGAATCATGGCTGGTCAAGGCCTCTGTCAGAGCTCTGAAGTGTTTCAGTGTCACTTGCCCCGACAGTCACAGACATTTCTTTCCAGTGTGGCCTGCTCCTTCTCTCACATTTCTCCTTCCTCCCCAACACACTGAGCCAGGAAAAATCAGCATATTTCTTGTTTTCCAAGGCCACTTCTAGACCCTCCCTCTGAGGCTGTTCACTCAAGAACCTTCTCTCCTTTGAGGTTTATTTTATCAGTCTATATCAACCAGTCCAAATTCTTCTTGTTGCCATCTACCTGGCTCTACTTTACTTTCAATTTTTCTCAAGGGCTTCATTACCAGACTCATAATCTTCCTTCTCTATTCCAACACTGTCTTCAAACTTGGAAACTTCAATAGTCATGTTGATGTCCCTTTAAATCCTCTGGTACTGAACTGAGGTTCATGAATCTCAACTCCCATGACCTCCATCTCCATTCTCCTCACAGAAGTGGTAGTACCTTAAGCCTCACCATCACAGAATAATGAAGAACCCTGATGATGCTGAACTATGAAATTCCTGTCTCTAATCAAAATCTTTTGTTCTTCCATCTCTCCCTGTGCCTCATTACTTCTAAACCTTTTTCCTGACCATCACTATAATCTCCAGTCCTTCCATCCCTCCCTCTTGTCTGAGTCCATCACCTTTGCTCTGGCCTCACTTTCCTCCTTTCACATTTTTAGTCCTGTAATCAAGTTTAAATACTCACTACCCTTTACCCTTCAATCCCTTAGCCCCTTGCACATAAACTGTTCAAAACTGGTCAATGCTTTAGGTCAACAATGGCTGGTCCTTCTTGCCAAGGTTAACTCTCCACTAGGGCTACTGATCACATCCATCCATATACAACATGTTCAGGTCTTCCCTACCCTTAAAAAATCATTTAACCATGCCACCTCATTAAGTTATTGTCCTTCATCTTTCCATCTCACTGCTAAGTTCCTAGAAATAGCCATCTACACTTTGACTTCACTTCCTTTCCTCACACTTCTCTTAATTTCTCGAAATTGAGCTTCTGACTGTCATTCTAATGAAATTGCATGCTCCTAAAGCTCTAATGATTAAATTCAAAAGTCTTTTATCAGGTCTTCACAGATGATCCAGAGGGATGACAGGACATGACATGACTGTAACAAGAGGTCACAGAGGTATTGCCGGAAGCGGGATTTGAATTTGGGTCTTCTGAATCCAACGGTACCACTCACATCCATCTCCTTTGGAGGCTGGGCACTTGTCAAAGCCTGGCCTTGAGCCCTACCATTGTCCTTTACCAGTATTAAAAAAAAACAAACAAACCTTCAACCACTTCTTAACCTTGCTGAGACTGTTTTGCAAAAATTGCTTTCAAAGTTTTCTTAGTTATTGGTGGGGAATGTGTGATTTCAACATTGTCAGGAACTCCTAATGTGGAAACTCACTCTGCTGATGGAGATTAATTCAATAATCATTTATTAAGGACCTACTATGTGCTGGGTCTTAGGGACACTCAAATGTACCTGTGATCTCAATTATTTTGAGTTGACTCCAATAATACAGATTGAAACTTACCCACACCTTTCCATCCTGTGAGATTCTAGTTCACATCACCCAACAGGTTCAACATAGGGAGCCCACCCAATGTGCCAGAGGCCCTCTTCGATATTTGTGACATTCTCAGTTTATTAATGGAGTTATCTGGATGTATACCTGGCATCCCTTGCTCTCCCCATATAACCAGCCCATCTTTTCTTTCTGTCATATATTTCTTTGATGACATCCTTTGCTCCTGTTTTTTAAAATTCCTTGCTGGTTATATGTTATAACTTGCCTATATCCACTATTCCATTGCCCTCTGTGTGATGCTCATCTTTGTGTCTTTGGAGAAAGTGGCATTCTAGAGCCCTGGCAATACAAAGATAAAAATGGAACAGTCCCTGCTCACAAAGAGCTTACACTTGAAAGGCTACCCTTGCCTTAAGTCTCTCTCTCCCTTGCACACAGTTGCCAAGGTCATTATTCTAAATCAAATGTCTGACCATGTTATATGCCCTACTCAGTAAGATCCTATGATCTTATTACCACCAGGATCAAATATAAAGTTTTCTGGCATTCAAAGCTCTTCATAATCCTACCTTTCCAGTCTTTTTATATCTTGCTGTCCTCCAGGCATTCTATGATCTCATTACACCGGCCTGTCAATTCCCTGAATACAGTACTCATCTTCCAACTTGATGTCTTTGTGCTGTCTGTCCCCTAGGCCTCAAATGCTCTGTGTCCTCACCTCAGCTTCTTAGTTCCCTTGGCTTCCTTCAAGACAGCCCAAAGCCTACCTTCTGCAGGAGAACTTTCCTGGTGGTCTTTCTCCCTCCAAACCCATATTCCCCTCTCAGATTACTTTATAATATATCTTGTACGGACCTAATGGTTCACATGTTGTCTCCTCTTTTAGAATGCATGTTCCATGAGAGCAGGCTTAACTTTTTTTTTTAAATTTCTACTTAGGTGCCTGTGGTACATAGTAAGAACTTAACAGATGTTTGCTGACTGACTACTGAGGGGAAACAATCCCCTCTTTGTGACCTGACACAATCAACCAGATAAATTAATGCAAAATATATACAAAAGAGAATCAGTTAATTACCTGCAAATGTCACAAAGAGCAGACAGAGACACTGAAAGTCTAATTAACTTACCCATGGTCACACTTCTAGTAGCATCAGCCTCCAACCCTCTATTGCCTCTCTTCTTCACCTGTAAAACAGAAGTTAGAGTACCTGCCATACCTGTATAGCAGGAACAAATGAGATAACATGCAGAGGACAAAGCTATGTCAATAGAAAACAATTAAGGAGAGGCAGTATGTTACACTGAAAAGAAGATAAAAACACCTGCAGTACCTACCTCACAGGGTAGTTGTGAGTATCAAAGGAGACAATCATGTAGTATACCCTAGTCATTCAGTTCCTCAACCTACTCACTTCCCATGACCTGCTCCTCCACCTCAGACATACACAAAGACAGTAATACACTTGATTTTGCCACAAATGCACCACCTCCATAAGAATGGTGATTTTGAATAATTCCAATCAATAATTGGTTAATTCCCAAATCCTCTTATTTGGCCATAATCTATTAGCTATTCACATCTCCCTCTGCCTTTCTTTGCCACACCTTACTCTTCCTCCACATTGTGACCTCCAATCCCTCAACCCCTCAGTTCTCTCCCTATCACTCCTGCACTAGCCACTCTCTACTCTTTTCCCTGTCATTACCCCTTGGTGAACCAGTTAAACTCTACATGGTTCACTAGGTGATGTCATCAGCTCCCATGGATTCAATTATCATTTTTGTGCAGATATCTTTCAGATCTATTCATCTAGCCCTAACCTCCCTGTTGACTGACCTCTACTCTTGCATCTCTAACTGCCTACTGGCCATCTCAAATTAGATTATCTTGAAGACATCTTAAACTCAACAAGTCCAAAACTAAACTCCTTTGTCTTTCCCCCTAGACCTTTCCCCTCCCCCACTCCAAACTTCCCTATTACTGTCAAGGGCAGCACCATCCTCCCAGTCCCCCAGGCTAGCAACCTACAGTCATCCCCAACTTCTCATTACCCCTGCACCTTCCATATGTAATCTGTTGCCAACGCCTATCCATTTCATCTTTGTAACATGTCTCAATTATGCCCCCTTCTCTGACACAACTACCACTCTGGTGCAGGCTGTCATCAGCTCATGCTTGGACACTGCAATAGCTTGCTGGTGGGTCCACTTGCCTCAGAACTTTGTCCACTCCAATCCACCCTCCAGTACCTCCAGGCTACCATGCTACCTCCTACACACTAAACTCCAGGGGCAGTTACCTCAGAATCAAGTACTGAATCCTCTAACAAATTCCTTTTTCTCCCAATTCCTCCTCCCCCTACCCCACCCCTTTCCAATCTTCCTACACCTAACACCTGGTCACACACTCTCCATCAAGCCATCCTTCTTGCTGTTCCCCAAACCAAAAACACTCCACCTGGGTGCTCCAGGTATTTTTTTTTTTTGGCTTCCCCTCCTCATCTCTGCCTCTTGGCTTCCTTCAAGTCCCAATTAAGTCCCATCTTCTACAGGTAACTTTTCCCAACTCTTATTATTTTTCATGCCTTCCCTCCGTTAATTATTCTCTAGTTATCCTTGTTTGCACACATTTGTCTTCTCCATTAAATTGTGAGCTCCATGAGAGAATGTTTTTTTTTTCATCCCCAGGCTTAGCACAGTGACTGGCACATAGTAGGCGCTTAATAAACGCTTATTGGCTGATGACTATAATTAAATGTCAAGTGTAATTCTCTTAACATCCACCCAAGGGATACAGGCCACAGGTGCTCCTCATGTTTTCCTGAGAGGCAGACACAGCTGTGCAGTTGGTCAGGCCCTTGGAAATTCTGACTCATTTTCCTGTTTTGTTTTGTTTTTTCCACTTTGGGCAGGGAACCCCCGCGGTGACCCTTCTCCGGCCCAGAAACTCTCCCTGGCTTGGGGACAGTTTTCCCTGGGGGAGGAGTGCACAAGAGACAAGAAAAGAGGGAGGGCGGAGAGCGAAAACTATTGTTGAGGTTTTCAGAAACAAGAAGAAAGCTCGAGGTGCCCTCGGGGCCTGCTCCTGGGCGGCCTCCTGGCTACAGGGGCGCCCAGAGGGCCCAGCCTTGGCCACTTCAGGGGCCACCAAGCAGCGCAGGCTCCCATCCCGTATCAGACAGGGAGCAGGTAGCGGTGCGAGGGGGCTTTGTACCTACAAAGTACTGCGGCCGCTTTCCGAGACCAGCGGAAGTGGCTTTCCCCAGACCTCCGGCAGCTTCCGGTTCCCTTCCCCTCCCCCCACCGTTCCCAGAGGGCGGAGCGTCGTTTACGGTCAATGCCAGGGCGGGGCCGTCTCCAACAGGAAGAGCTCCCCCTCCCCGCCCCACCCTCGGGAGGACCCGCCCCAGACTAATCGCGGACTTCTCCAGCAGTCGGTCCCACCCAGAGCCAGCACCTGATGCCGCCTGTTAAATGCTGATAGAGTCACCTCGGCGTCAGTCAGCAGAGGAGAACAGCCGCTGGCGACGCTGGGGGCTTCGCGGTCCGAGGAGCCCGAGTCAGCCTAGAGCCTCGCGCCGCAGCCATGGGGGCATGTCCGCGCCCCGGGGCCTGGCTCCGCTCCGTGGGGTTCCTCGGGGCGTTGGCGCTGCTCGCCCTGCCGCAGGCCAGCGGTGAGGAGGGGCGCCGGGGCCGCGGCCGCAGGTGGGGTGGGGGAGGGAGACAGCGGGGAGGGGCCGAGGGTGCGAGGGGGCTTCGGGTGGCAGACCGCTGCCCCTCCACTCCAGACGGCTCCTCGCCCCGGGGGGTCCTGAGCCTGGCTCCCTTTCCCCTGGGAATTGGTCAGCGATTGACGAGCCTTTCTGGCGGTCCACGCTCCGGGAAACTCCTTCTATTAGTGCTTTCATAGTGCTCACAATTATGCTGTTGATTTGTGGAAACGGAATCCGAGTCATTAAAAGGAATCAAGCGTTTATTGAGTACCTGCTGTGTGCCGGGCGCCACGCTGCTGGCTGGAGTCGAAGATAGAAATGAAAGGTGGCTGGAGTCGAAGATAGAAATGAAAGGGCTGTAGCAGATGTCAGCCTGAAGAATGCGAGGGATAGTGGAGCCGGGTCAGCTGTAAAGGGGTGACCCTAAAATGGCGAGGCCAGCGCTCTGGGGGGCTTTTAAATTGACTAAAGGGGAAGTCGGTGTCTCGACACTCTCTCCACTCCAATTTTTGTTTTGTGTTTGATGGGAGTTTTTTGGCCGCTGGAAGAAACCTTAGAATAACTGAAGTAGTTTCACCACCCAACTACTTTAACAGAAATAGGAAAGTTATACATATGTACATATGTGTGTGTATATACACATACGCATACATGTACAGAAGGCAGTGGCATTTTTGTCCACTGGGAGAATGCTTGAGTGGGTTAGGTATCTTTGCTTTAAGTTGACCGAGAACTTTGTGTTATGGTGACCTGTGTCAGGGCCTCATTTAGAAACTGTTTCAAACACAGTTATTTGTAGGTTAGCACTAATCCTCATTTCTCCTGAAGGGTTTTTGAGCAAACCATATTATTGAGAGAGTATGGAGCATCCCATTTGTCCCAGTAATGTTATCTTGTATGGCTCCTGAGTTGGGCGAAAAGCTGCTGAAGTCCTAATATTAATGTACCATTGGTTTAGGTTTTATTAGTCCTTTGTGAGGTTAACTGGATCAAAATGAGAGACAAAAAGTATTCTCAATTGGCAGCCATTCCTTGTGTGTCCTTCCTTTTAAAACTATTTGGAAATAATCATTTCAATGATGAGTCAGGGCTGCACTCAGGACTCCACATTTGTTTTAGACTGATAACTCATACTTTGTCAGAGCAGTAGAAAGCCCAAATCTTGGAGCTATTTCTATTCAGATAACACTAAAAAAGTAACTAGAGATTTGGAAATGAGGTTTTGAAATGAAATCTTTGATTATCATTTTGCCTCCCTAAGACATAAATTCATGTTAGGGCTTTGACTGTAATATGACTCATATCATATCAAACCTTGTTTCTTGAATAGGTATGCCAAGGGTGAGAAGAAACCTGGTGTCATGGTTGAAAAAGGGAGGAAAGGAATCAGCAATAGTGCCTAGTAAGTGCTAGGCACTGTGCTAAACACTGTGTGTGATGCGACTCAAATTAGAAAACAGACTTAGAGGTTTTTCAAGGAGAAACAGAAAGTTAATTTATTTGCTATTCTTGAGAATAGGGTGACCCTCCACCAGGATATTCTGATGGGAGGAGACAGATTACAGAAGCAGAAGAACCAGATTAAATAGCCCTAATGGGTAAAGCCTTCCTCCCACCAACTGGCCAATGCTTGGCTCACAATGTATAGAAACAAAAGAAACTATATCTGTATTTAGCTCCTTAGTTTACTGAAGTGTTGCCAAAGAAACAATTAAAAATATGCAGTCAAGGTAGACGCTGTGCTGTATACCCAAGTGACCATGACTGAAATATAGCAACAGGTACAACAAAATACAGGGGGGCTTCAGGGGTTTCAGGCTTCCAAACTTTAACTACTGAACAATGGCATGGGGGGTGGTAGTTATGGTTGGATTCCTGTAAATCAGGTGATTTCCACTAAATCGAAACTTAGGGGACTTCAGCTTCTGGGAGCCAGGATGGCAGAGTAAAAAGGTAGTCGCTCTCACCCTCCCCTATTAACCTTTGAAAACCCAGACAATATCACCCCAGGAAAAAAAACCCCTAGAACAGCTGAACTAGAAGACTGGGAACAGCAGTGCAGCAGCCCAGCAAATGGGTCTCCCAGTGCCTCAGCAAAAATAAGCAAGGCAGTACTACAGAGGGCCCCAGGCAGATAAGCACCCTTCAGCATTCCTCTGGAAGGAGCTGAAGAAAGCAACCTAAAGTGTTCCTAAAGTCCCAGCCTTCCTGATTCCAGCCCAACACCAGGTAAGCCGTCAGAACCTCCAGCTGTCAACCAAGAAGAGATCCTGAAGCCCAGGTAGTAGAGCAGGCAAACACCAACACCTGGACCTCTCAGTGCCTCAGGGAGGGTGGGGGAACCTGTGGAAAGCAGCTCAGAAAACCACCAGGTGCCTCGGCAGTCTACTGCAAAGGAATCTCACAGTGCATTAGCAGAAAGGAGAGAGACAGCACTGCAAGGGGCCGCAGACAAATAAACACCCTGTAGTACCCATCTAAAAGGAGCTGAAGAAAGCTAAATGAAAAGAAAAGCAGGCAACCTAAAATTGCCTGAAAGTTCCAGCCTTGCTGATTCTAGCCCAACACGAGGTAAGCTGCCAGAGCTCTACAGCCTCCACTTGCCAACATAAGAGGCCCCAGCACACAAAGCCAGTGACCAAGACCTAGGCTCCCAACACAAGAAGCTTGGGTCAGTGCCCTCTGTTACCCAGCAGAAGAGCTCAATCTCTCTAAAGGCCAGGGAATAAAGAAACACCATAAGTAGAAAGAAACATACCATAGATTTCATCTTATGAGAAGAGTGAAGATCAAGACAGAAATTCGGAAGAGGACAACATTGTCAACAAACCCACATCTGCAACATTGAAAGGGAGTATGAACTGGTCTGAAGCCCAAAAAGCCTTCTTAGAAGAACTCAGTAAGGATTTTAAAAGTCTGATGAGAGAGGTAGAAGAGTCCTTGAAAAATACAGTTGGCTAATAGGAAAAAAAATACACTTAAGAAAACAAGTTACTAAAAAGGACAATTGGTAAACTGGAAAAAAGTACACTGAAGAAAACAAATCCCTTAAAAATATAATTGGCCAATTGGAGAAGGAAGTACAAAAAACAAAAGAAGAAAACAATCTGTTAAAAACTAGAATTGGACAAATGGAAACTAATGTCTCTATGAGAGAGCAAGACTCAGTCAAACAGAAACAAAAAAATGAAAAAAAAATGAAAAAGTAAAATACCTCATCTGTAAAACAGCCGACCTGGAAAATCGATCCAGGAGAGACAATTTAAAAATTATTGGACTACCTGAAAATCATGATGAAAAAAAGAGTCGGGACAGTATCTTTCAGGAAATCATAAAGGAAAATTGCCCTGAAGTCCTAGAACCAGAAGATAAAATAACCATAGAAAGAATACACTGGTCACCACCTCAAAGAGATCCCAAATTGACAATGCCAAGAATATAATAGCAAAATTCCAAAATTATCAGATGAAAGAGAAGGTGTTGCAAGCAGCCAGAAAGAAACAATTTAAATATCATGGAACCACAGTCAGGATTACACAGGACCTTGCAGCTTCTACATTAAAAGACCGCAGGATATTCCATAAGGCAAAGGAGCTTGGATTACAGCCAAGGATCAACTACCCTGCAAAAATGAGCATGATTTTTCAAGGAAGGAAATGGATATTCAACAAAATAGGGGACTTCCAGGCCTTCCTGATAAAAAGACCAGAGCTCAACAAAAAATTTGATCTTCAAGTACAAGATTCAAGAAAGACGTGAAAAGGTAAATGGGACAGAAAGATACAATATGTTGTTCATAAGGGTGGACTGTTTACATCCCTACAAGGGAAGATGACACTTACATCTCTTGGGAACTGTATAGTTATTACACCATGTTAAAGGAGTATACATAAAGGTGGTGGATATTAGTTGACTTTGATGTAATGACAAAAAAAAATCTAATCAAGTGGGTTAAATGGATCCAAGTAAGTGGATTAGTCTGATCTTTAGAAAATGTACTGAGAAAGGAGGAGGAAGACAAGGGTAAATGACATTGCAGGAAAAGATAGAAAATCCTATTACAGTGGAGGGAAAGAAGGGAGGGGGTTTGAGCATTGTTTGAACCTTACTCTCATCAGATTTGGCTCAAGGAGGGAAATAACATAATCAGTTAGGTATGGAAATCTAACTTGCCCTATAGGCAGTAGGAGGGAAAAGGGGAAAGAAAAAGGAGGTGGGAATAGAAGGGAGGGAAGAAGCAGTAAGGCTAAAGGGGAAGAAAAGGGAAAGGGTGGGTGGGACTGAGGGAGGAGGTGGTCAAAAGCAAAACACTAGTGAGAATTTATACTTACAATTTCACTAATGTGAAAATATGTTTAATAGGAATGTTAATGTCTAGCATATATTAGATTGTGTGCCGTCTTGGGGAGGGTGGTGGGGAGGAAGGGGCAGAAAAGCTCTAAACTCAAAATCATATGAAACTGATTGTTGATAGATCAAAATAAATTAATAAAATTTTTTAAAAAGTAAAAAAACCCCAAAACCTTAGGCCTATCGGGCTTCTATGCCTGCCTTGAGTCACAATACAATTTGTATTTATTCTTCTAAGAAGTCTTCACAGGACCCCTCATCCCACCACTCCTTATCCCAAACCTTAATTACACTGAGGAGCCTTCACTGGGACATCCCATTCAATCCCTCCTCTTCTTTCATACTATCTGAAGACTCCTCACACCACCTACTAAATCTTCATAACCATCAGGGTGGTCTCAAACTGGCACTCGACCTTGACTTTTCAGAACCATCAGCTGGATTTCTCCTTTCCCTTCCATTTTAACCAAAGTGAACAAGGAGTCTTGAATATAGGGGAGACAAGCCATGAGTAGGACAATAATTCCCCTCAAATTTTACAATCTAAGAATTTTAGAAATACAATACAATTTAGAAACAGTAATAACTTTTGTAATACAAACAATAAACCA